ACTGCGTTGAAATGGGCTGTAGATTTATAAATGTTGATGATGGTCTGCTGGCTTATTTCTTCACTGATATAGCTGGAACACTGGTGTTGAAGACTGTACTGCACTGTGTTGAAATGGTTGGAGACTGTTAAATTTTGACGATATTTTGCTGGCTTTTATACACAAATATTTTCCACCTACTATAAATTTTAGCCAAGTAGGTATTTGCAATAGTCAATGATATTATATGACCTCAATATTATTAGAATGTATCCTACAGCAGTGAATGACATTAAACAACATTATATTATTTGCAATACTTAAAATAAGTTTCTATACTGGTTCTGAACAGGATGTGAAAATGTGGTAAGGTCATTACTATGAGTATCTGCTTATAGCCAAATTTTAAGATTTATTTCAGGTCATTGCTATTGGCAAGAACTCTTGAAATAAATTTCAATGTACATGGGTACATTTAAAAATCTGAGTATAAACAGCAGTCAATGACTTTACATGACCTCATATTCTTGTTAACAGTTTGCAAAAACATTTGAAATAAATAGATATACATTAGGATAATGTATATCTTTTTATAATTTTAATACCTGTTCTGAGTTGAATGCGAAAAATATAGAAAGGTTTTTTTACACGTCTTTGTTATAAGCACCCGTATATAGTCGAGTTTAGAGTAGTGGAAAATATCTGTGTATAAAAGCCAGCATAATATCGTCAAAATGTATCAGTCTCCAGTAATTTCAACACAGTGCTGTACAGTCTTCAACACAGCTCAAGATGTCCTACAGAACTTCAATCGCGTCTTCTGAATCAGAGGTTAGTACTTTTTTAGAAAATAACTTTTAATAACCAAAAGCAAATTGGAGGTCAGTCGTAAAACTACTCAACGCTATGGTTATAATTTGTGGTTGATTGTTACATCACACATATAATATTTCATGTTTAACTAAATATTTTTGAAATCGGTTTAAAACTTACTTTTCATTTTAGTTGAAAAAAATTAAACTAGGTATTATGTTTATGTTTCATAGAATGAACATTTTGAAGACCCGGCAGATATAAAAATGAAACCATCTGCATCAAAAAGCAAACAGAGTTTAAAACGTGGTGCTGAAATGAATACAGAAAAAACCCTAAAAAAAGGCAGACGAAAATGGTGAGATAAAACATTTTTATGATGATAGTATAAATTATTTATTTATTCTTTTTTATAATTTTTTTTATAGGCTACTTCATCATCATCATATAGAGATAACGTTGGTGATCTTTTTAGATTAGAAGATTATGAGGAAGAAGTGACCAGTCATTGAATAGTAGTCTGAATCAGACTATGCCGGCCGTATTCGATACAATGCTGCAGGATCCAGATCGCCGGACAATAAAAAGCAAAATAGCACTTTGATTGTTATATATATAAAAAAAATAAACTTTATTTAAACAATAAACAATATATATATATATATACATTTGTATCCATATTAATAAATTCTGTAATATAAGCTCTGACATTGTATTGAAATGATATTGTAATATTTCATACAAAAATGATGTATCATCGTTTTGTAAATGGGAATAATAATTTAAATCATAGTTTTGAATATACTGGTTTGTGAATTCGTTCCTCTGTCAGCTGATTGGCAGACCACGTACATCTTTTTTGATCAGTTCGTAAGCAGTATCAAATGTTGCTTGAAAACTTTGTAGTCGTTTCTGTTTTTCTGCTATATACAGGTCAATGCAGTGTTGTAATTGTTTTAATCTACAGAAATCTATATGTGATAATGTTATATATTCATCATTTATATTCAATGTAATTGAACTTTGCTTCGCATTAATTGAGTATGTTAAATCATCAGTTATTTTCACATGTTTACATCTGGTATTTAAATTATTAGTAATAGAAACAAAGTTTGATTCGGACATAAGGGTAAACCATTGCTGTAAATTTAGTGTAATTATCTTTTTCGTTAACTTGCATTCAAATGATACAATAATCGAAATTTGTTTACTAATTAGTAAACCAACTGTCACACTCTTCTTACCAAATGGACGGATGTCAAAAGTTGATTTCGACACAATTATTGCTGGAGCCATGACGAATATTGTTTTTTTTAAATAAATGAAAAAAATAAGGTATAATATGTCTGACAGAGGATATAATTTGAACTAACAGTTTTTTCTTCTGCAAGCATATTATATACTAAACCTTGCATTGCAGGGCCTTTATTCAAGCATGTCCGCACACGTCGCAGCACTTGAAGCACTAGGCCAACCAGTCAACAGCTGGGATGCATGGCTTATAACAATCATCCTAAGGAAACTTGACCATGCAACCAGTCATGAATGGCAAGTGCGAAGAACTAACACAGAGTTACCGAAATACAGCGAGCTGCAGCAATTTCTGTCAAGTCGTTGTGTTGCACTGGAGAGTTCGGAGACACTCCGGAACGCCAGCGATGAAGATAAACGTAAACCACAAACCAAGAGTTCTTATTTAAAAAGCAATGCTCATAATCACCCTAGAAAGGCTCTTTACACGGCTAGTCATAAAGTTAAGTGTGAATGCTGTGCAGGCGAACATCGGATATACGCATGTAGCAAGTTCAAGGAAATGCCAGTGGGAAGCCGTGTACAGAAAGTTCGAGAGGTAAAGTTGTGCTTCAACTGCTTTTCAAACATGCATATGGCGGATGTCTGCAAGTCAAGGTACACCTGCCGCGTGTGTAATGGTAGACACAATACGCTACTACACTACGAAAAGCAAGAACCTCAAGCCACAGCGAATGAAGAAGCTACCACTGAGAAGGTAGACAATCCAGGCGCGAAGGTGTTTTGTGCAGCTCAAAGAGTTAATCATGTTTTCTTAGCAACCGCTATAGTCTCAGTACTGGACCGTTATGGGGAAAAAAGACCATGTCGAGTAGTATTGGATAGCGGGTCGCAAATAAACTTTGTCTCGAGGAAAATGGCCAAGCTGTTAAATCTTGCTCGCGAGAAGGTCGAACTACCAGTAACTGGAATAGGAGCTAACCGGATTCATTCAACTGCGTGCGTTACCATAGATGTGTTGTCCAGAATAAAGGAATTTCAAGTTGCTCTAGTTTGTCACGTTCTACCTACCATTGTAGATGACCTTTCGCCTCATGCGAGTGGTAAAGCCGATTGGAATATACCTAAGGAATTCAATTCACAGCTGGCTGACCCATTGTTTCATTCATCAGGGCCAATAGACATGCTGATAGGCGGTGGCGTCTTTTTCGACATACTGGAAGCTAGACGTATTCGTTTGGGCACAGGATCGCTGTGCTTGCAAGATACCAAGTTTGGTTGGGTCATTACCGGAGAGGTTGGAGCAGTATGCCTGTTAAACGTTAAATCTGTCGGCCAGTCACTAGAAGATGGATGGATTGCCATAGAAAATAGCAAAGACGTTAGTTCTAATGATTTGTATAAAACGAACAAGAGGAGTCTGGAAGAAAGGGAAGCAGCAAGACACTTTCAAGAAACTGCAAAACGCGACCAAGATGGTAGATTCGTGCTACGGTTACCATTAAAAGCCGAAGTTACTAATTTAGGAGACTCTCTGAGGATGGCAACTTCAAGGTTTTTAAGCGTGGAACGTAGACTACAGCAGGATGAATCCTTGAGAGAAGCATATGTCAGCTTTATGAAGGAGTATGAAAACGCAGGTCATATGCACGAGGTAAACAACAGTGAGCCGGTAACCAATAACCTTTTTTATTTACCCCACCACCCAGTTGTAAAATTGTCAAGTTTAACAACGAAGTTAAGAGTCGTCTTTGATGGGTCAGCCAAGAGTTCAACTGGAGTCTCACTTAATGATGTCCTTATGTGTGGGCCCACAGTACAAGAAGAACTATTCAGCATATTGATACGATTTCGAACGCATCAGTATGTTATAACTGCTGATGTAGAGAAGATGTTTCGGCAAGTGGGAGTGTCCAAGGAAGACCAAGACCTGCAGCGTATAGTATGGCGGGAGAAACCAAGCGAGGTACTTCGCATATTCAGACTAGCGACAGTCACTTATGGTACTACTTCAGCATCTTTTATGGCGACTCAGTGTCTCGCATCGCTAGCAGAAGCAGAAAATCTAAGATTTCCTAAGGCAGCGAAGGCAATACGTAGGGACTTCTATATGGACGACCTAATGACTGGAGCTGAGACTATAGAGGAATGCAAGATGTTACAGTCACAAATCAGCATGGTTTTAGAGTCAGCCAAACTACCGCTCAGAAAATGGTGCTCTAATTCAGCTGAGATACTCAAAAGCGTACAAGCAGCCGAAAATGAGCCATTATTCATAATCAAAATAGAAGCAGATGAGATAGTAAAATCTCTTGGGTTATGTTGGAAACCAACGCAGGATGTGCTTGGATATCAAGCTATAATGCCAGCTAAGAGTCCAAGATGTACAAAAAGAATATTGTTATCTGACCTTAACAGGATTTTTGATCCTCTTGGTTTTTTGACACCTGTACTCACTAAAGGCAAAATATTCCTGCAACAACTGTGGCAAATAAAAATAGATTGGGACCAGCCAATTCCGGACGAAATAAGGGAGAAGTGGCTCCGATTCTACAAACAGTTCGAGGAACTCGGAGCGCTAACGATTCCTAGGAAGTGCAAGCCAGTCATGAGCGATCATATTGAGGTGCACGGATTTTGTGACGCTTCTGAAGAAGCTTATGGTGCATGCATCTATGTGCGGAGTAAAGACCAGAATGAACAGTGGTGTTCACGGCTATTATGTTCAAAATCGAGAGTAGCACCAGTCAAGGGAGCTACAATACCGCGTTTAGAACTTGGAGGCGCTCTGGTGTTAGCACAGTTGGCAGAAAAAGTAGCAGCAGCATGGGAATTAGATGTCAAAGATTTCCACCTCTGGACTGATTCCACGGTGGCATTGGGTTGGATCCAGAGTGAAGCAATTAGATTTAAAACCTACGTCGCGAATCGCGTAGATCAAATACTTGAGCTGACCAATGCACAACAATGGAGGCATGTAGGGACTGCCGACAATCCAGCTGACATACTATCCAGAGGAGTATTGGCACAAGAATTAAAAGTCTCTGAGTTATGGTGGAATGGACCACAGTGGTTGAGCCACAGCAATGATGGTTGGGAGCATTCAGTCACCACACTGCCAGACGAAGAAACATTACCAGAAAGACGAGTGGTTAAGCTCGCACTCACCACGATGGATCAGTCAATCGGATTAATCGAACACTACTCAAGTTGGCGTCGACTAGTGAGAGCCGTTGCCTGGTTTCTTAAGTTTATAGACTTCCGAAGAACAAGGCAGATCGGCACTACAGCAAGGTATTTAAGTGTATCGTATTTAAAGAAAGCCGAAACTAGTTTAATAAGGCAAGCACAGTTACAAGAATTCAATGAAGAATATATCTCGCTGAGCAAAGGCAAGGAAGTATCAGGGCGTAGTAAATTAAAGGGACTACATCCGATGCTCCAAAGCGAAAACTTAATACTAGTTGGAGGACGACTGGCCAACGCCCAAATTGCAGAAAGTCAAAAGCACCCTATTGTGTTACCTGCAACCCACAAAATTACCAGGCTAATTTTCGAAGACACTCACCAGACCCTTCTTCACTGCGGGCCTCAAGCATTACTAGCAGAGATTAGACAACGATACTGGCCAATCAGAGGTAGAAGCATGGCTCGTTCTGTCACGAAACGTTGTGTGATCTGCGTACGAGCAAGGCCAAAGTTTGTATGTCCTCTAATGGCTCCGTTACCCAGACAACGCGTAGTCCCTACTAGACCATTTGCTGTCAGCGGTGTAGACTTCGCCGGGCCTTTAATGATAAGAAGTGGAATACGGCGCCAAACAGGAATAAAAGCATGGATTGCAGTCTTCATATGTCTCTCCACAAGGGCCATTCACCTAGAACCGGTCGTCGGGTTAACGGGTGGAGCATTTTTGGCATCATTACGACGTTTCATGTCACGAAGAGGAAAGTGCTCAACAATCCATAGTGATAACGGTACTAACTTTGTAGGAGTGCAGAAAGAGTTGGCATCATATTTAACCAACTGCGAGTCAAGCATGGCTAGTGAAGGGATAGAGTGGAGATTCAACCCTCCCTCAGCGCCACACTTTGGTGGCTTGTGGGAGAGTGCGGTGAAATCGACGAAGCATCACTTAACACGAGTGTTAAAAGATGGCAGGCTTACTTTGGAGGAGCTAAATACGCTGCTTTGCCAAATTGAAGCTTGTGTCAATTCGAGGCCAATGACACCACTGGGAAGCGATCCTTCTGAGCCTAATGCCCTTACTCCAGCTCATTTCTTAATTGGTGGATCTTTATTATTAGCACCTGAGCCCAGCTTAGCAGACGAGCGAATAGAACATCTACGTCGATGGAAGTATGTTCAAGCATTAATGCAAGGGTTCTGGACAAGATGGCATAAAGAATACTTGCCACAACTGCAAGTACGTGGCAAATGGACAAGTAAAAAACATCCACTGAGTATCGACGATATAGTCATCATAAAGGACGAATGCACGCCACCAGCAAAATGGCGATTGGGAAGAGTGATGAAAACGCACCCTGGGAAGGATGGTGTTGTGAGGGTCGTCACATTGCGGGTTGGATCCGGATCAGAGATAAAACGACCTGTAGTCAAGCTATGCGCGCTGCCTACTGAGGTATCATCGGATAGAAGTTGAAAATAAATAATTTTTCAACGGGGGGAGAAATGTTGCCGCCCGAAATGCAACAACATTATTATAGATTCCACCGCCACCGACCCACACTCATACAGGCACACAAATCACACACCTGATTGCCAATATGTTAAATTATTGAATTATTTTTGTATTGTACCTATTTATGTTATCTTGTGAATTATATAATAATAATATGTAGATTACGCGTGAACGTCCGCCGATGCGACAGAGTAGCACGGCCGCCGAAAGTTATACAGACCAGTTCACGCACCGGTGTCAATGGAGAGCGCAACAATTATTTTATCGTGTGCCGGTCGTTCGTGTTATTCAAAAATATTATCATTGTAGGCGCGAATCGCCGAAGTTTTAATTGTATTCAAATATTATCATTGTAGGCGCGAATCGCCGAAGTTTTAATTGTATTCAAATATTATCATTGTAGGCGCGAATCGCCGAAGTTTTAATTATAATATTATATAGTATAATATAATATTGGTTGAAGGCGCGAATCGCCTTTCACGCCGAGCATATAATAATATTGTGAGGTAAATCACCATTATTAGTGTTGGTGCTCACAAAGCGCCGGGCATATTATTATTTTATATTGTTTTATAATATCTTGTGCGACAACTCGCCGCTGCCTATTATTTTTCATTACCTATATTAGTACTTTTTTATTGTTATTTATATTTCGCAATTGTTATTGTTATTGTGTGTCGATTTTTAATGTATTATATAGGATAGGTAGCAGCTGGCCAGCCGTGCACCGTCAATATTGTGAGTAACATTTATTATTATATTCCATTACAGCTCTAATAGCTGCATTATATATTTTATACTATTGAGCATATTTATTATTCTTAGTGGCTCAAATAGCTTATTATTTACAACTATTATATTATTACGTCTGTTAGACCAAAAAGGGTCATAATATTAAATTTGTATATTGTGCATTTATATTATATTATTGAAGCATAATTATAACATATTGTTTCAAAATTGAAAATACTCGTTTGACATTTATTATGATTTAAGTATACACACAACCACAAATACACACCTACACACACCACTTGCACACTAGTACTCGCAGGTCTTGCTCGGCGAACCTGTCCAATTCCTGTTGAGTACTAAATCAAATACACACACAAGGTACAGAATCTGGTCGGTGTGCGACAGGTATTATACTGTATATTTATATACGTATTAATAATTCGCAGCGAAGAGAATCAGGTGACCGGGCTCACGTTTTATTATCAAACGTTCCCGGCCCAAACATTTGGTGACCTCGACGTGATCTTAATATTAATTTACGGTACATCATTATTATTATTTAATTGCAAGTTCTAATCAGCTTGTCATGCAGTACCTATAGTTTCATTAAAATCATTATATTATTATGGCTTCTGATGCCATACGTGGCATTCCCATGTCCGAGGACAACTATGACCTGGCTTGGTCAACAATTGAACACCGGTTCAATAGACCACGACTAGTCGCCATGTCATTAATTGACAAACTGTTCCAATTACCCGTGTCCACTCAAGAGTCATTGACAGACCTGAATACATTTGTCAGTAAATTCAGCGAAGGCCTCTCCCTATTAAAATCACTAAATATTCCAGATTTGGGATCTTTCGTACTGTTTTCAATGGCGTTTCGCTGTTTACCAATCGCGACTCGGGAACTGTTCGAAACTACCGTCACGAGTCAGGGCGACTATCCGACTATTGATGAACTACTGGCGTGCGTTCAGTCTCGAGTGTCAACGTTGGAAATAATTGGTGATTCGAAACCAGGAACCGCTAGTTCACAGCCGAAGTCGTCTCATCCGTCGAACCGTAAGGGAGGTCGTCCCAGTCATTCTGGATATCAACATGCTGCGTCGTTGCTCACAACGAAGCCTGAAAGATCTTGTCCATGTTGCAAGGCAAGTCATAGTTTGGACTCCTGCAGCCAATTTTTATCGTGGGCAATTGATGAACGAAGTAAATGGATGCGTGATCAAAGCTTGTGTTTCAACTGCTTCAGCGATTCCCACTGGTCTAACAAATGTCGGTCAAAACCAAGTTGCAAGCAGTGCTCTCGGAATCATCACACTTTGTTACACATGGGTGGACGCAACACCAAGGACAAGGTTCCCGAACCCAAAGCTAAATCATCCTTGTGTGCATCTCAACAGATGCCCGCGGCTTCGACATCATGTTCAGTGATGCTGGGGACAGCGCTTGTCCACGTGCGCGACCGTTCCGGCACGTGGCAGACGATGCGTGCACTAGTTGATTGTGCTTCACAAATAAGTGCTGTTACGGTATCATGTGCGGATCGCCTTGGTCTAAAACGCACTCGCTGGACTGCGCCTGTAACTGTTCTAGCTGGGCATCCTGTTACTAGTGTAATGGGCCGAATTGATTGCATTGTCCAGCCCCGGTTTGCACCGGAACCATCGCTGTCCATCCAGGCTTGGGTATTGCCGTCCATCACCGGAGATATGCCCCACAAAACATTGAATTCTACTATTAAGGATAAGTTCTCAAATCTTGCCTTGGCTGACCCTACATTCCACGTCGCATCAAGTGTGGATATGCTGTTGGGTGCTGACGTATACGCCACCATTATGAATGGCCATAAAATTGAAATTGACTCCTCTCTGCCTTCGGCATTCAATTCGGTATTTGGCTGGATATTAATTGGTCCTGTTCCATATACCAACGTCGAGCCAGTTCATGCGCTCCCGGTATCGCTGACCATATCAATTGAGGAGCAGATGAACAAATTCTGGGACATTGAAGAACCTGAAACGGCTCCAGATGCGTTTTCAGATGAAGGAAAGTGTGAGTCCATATTCAGGAATGAATGTGTGCGGCTACCATCTGGCCGTTTTTCTGTTCCTCTACCGTTCCGAGTCCCTGTTTTGCCAACAACATTTGCTGGTTCTCGTTCAATGGCAGTCAAGCGTTTTGAGTCACTGGAGAGGAAGCTATTGTCTAATCCACAGCTGCAGACATTATACGCAAATTTCATGGACGACTTTTTGGCGTTAGGCTATATGTCGGTCGCACCCACACCCGGTCATTATTTTGTCCCTCATCATGCAATTTACAAAGCAGATGATGGTGACGCCAAGATACGTGTGGTGTTTGACGCGTCTGCGCGATGTTCAGCCGGACCGTCATTGAACAGTTGTCTGCTTCCAGGGAAGAAGCTACAACAGGACATAATCGATGTCCTAACGCGATTTCGCATTTACCCACATGCGTTCACGGCGGACATCTGCAAGATGTACCGTCAAATCCAGGTGCTACCAGAGTACCGCAAGTACCAGCATATTCTGTGGCGGTCATCTCCACATGACCAGCTTGTCGAATACCAGTTAAATACCGTCACGTATGGAGTGACATGTGCTCCTTTCTTGGCCATACGCGTGCTTCAGTCAATTGCTGAAACCGATTGCACCGACGCCGATCATGTCCGTGACGCCTTGCTGTACCAGACATACGTCGACGACATCTGCGTAGGAGCGGATTCAGTTGAAGGTGCTTTGGAGCTCCAATCGTCCTTACGACGTATTCTCGCAAAATCTGGGCTTGAACTTAAAAAATGGTCGAGCAACACTCATGACATTTTGTCATCCGTGCCGGCAGCTGATCGGGTAAGCACGCCGTTACCATTCCACGATTCCGAAGACGGAGGAACAAAGGTACTCGGATTGCAATGGAACCCCAACGATGATTTTTTCAGCTGTGCGTTGCGATTTCAACCATCTCCAATATTCACTAAACGTGGCGTGCTGTCAATGGTGGCCAGAATATTTGACCCGTTGGGGTTATTTGGCCCTACAATTTTTTGGGCAAAATGCATCATGCAGCGGACTTGGCAACTAGGGTTGGCATGGGATGATCCACTGTCTCCTGACATCCATGCTGACTGGTCCTCGTTTCTATCCGATCTGCCATCGTTGTCGATGATTCGAGTGTCACGTCACTTCAGCACGTTCGGACAATCGTCATGCTATCTGTTGGGATTTTGCGACGCTTCGCAGCTTGGATATGCCGCGGTCGTATATGTGCTGCCAGCCGATTCATCAGGTCAACGTGCCGTTCTCGTCGGGTCTAAGACCAAGCTTGCTCCGATGAAGCCATTAACAATACCACGACTAGAGCTGAACGCCGCACTGTTACTCGCCCGGTGGCTTGGGCGCATCAAACGAGTATTGGATCCTCATCTCAAGATTGTTGGGACTTACGGCTGGACCGACTCGATGATAGTCCTATCCTGGTTAACGGTCCCTCATACGTCATTCAAGGTGTATGTGTCCAATCGTATCCATCAGATCCGCACCATAGTACCTGATTGTAAGTGGAGCCATATTGAGTCAGCAAACAATCCTGCCGATTGTGCGTCAAGAGGTGTGATGCCTTCAGAACTCACGAAGCTATCCCTCTATTGGCAAGGTCCTGCGATTCTCCGGGCCAATCCATCTACATGGATAAATCTTGTAGCACCCATGTCATTGTGCAGCTTACCTGAGGTACTACCAGTATCTCTCACAACTCGAGTCGACGTACCCGACTGTTTGGAAGAATGGTTTAACCGTTTTTCATCATATGACCGCATGATTCGCGTCACCACCATAATGCGCCGTTTCATCAGCCGGTGCCGTCGTTGTGAGCCTGAACCACCTCCCAATCTGTGTCTGAGTGGTGTTGAGGTCGACGGTGCTACTTTCAGTATTATCCGAGAGTCTCAACGTATCTACTTCTCTGACCTATTACGTGAGTTATCAACTGGTATCAGGGTATCGTCAAAACCGCTGGCTCGTTTAGCTCCGTTTGTCGACGATGTTGGAATCATCCGAGTTGGTGGTCGCCTTCGTCATTCCACCCTATCGTACGAGTGTAAACACCCAATGTTAATTGCCAAGCGCTCCCATCTAGCTCTATTGATTTGTCGTCGGTGGCACCGCCTAACATGCCATTCCGGCCCCCGTGTCATGATATCACTCATTTTACGCCAATACTGGATCATCGCCATCCGCTCGGTAGTACATGAAGTGTTGACCAAATGTTCTGTATGTGTGCGGTTAGCTGCAAAACCTCCTCAACCTTTGATGGCGGACCTTCCTGCTGCACGCGTGCAACAATTCCGTCCATTTGCCCGAGTTGGCGTGGACTATGCTGGCCCCCTTCAAATGAGAGAGATAAGGCTTCGCAAATCTCGGAGCTATAAGGTGTATATAGCGGTGTTTGTCTGTTTCTCTATAAAGGCGGTCCACCTTGAAGTGGTGTCAGAATTGTCAACTGATGCTTTTTTGGCAGCGTTCGACCGCTTCGTCGGGCGTCGTGGACTCCCCAGCGAGATATATTCCGACTGCGGAACAAACTTCGTTGGTGCTGACAAGCAACTACAAGCGCTTATTAACAGTCCGCAAGGTCAGCTCGCCATTACCACCAACTCTCGTCCAAATTGTACATGGCATTTCAACCCCCCCAGTGCTCCGCACTTTGGTGGGTTATGGGAGGCAGCGGTCCGATCCACTAAGCGTTTGCTGGTTCGTACAATGAGCACCCACGTTTTCACCTACGAAGAGTTCACTACTGTCCTGATCCGCATCGAAGCCGTTCTGAATTCTCGACCACTGACGCCCGCATCCACAGACCCTCATGACTTGGAGTGCCTCACACCTGGGCATTTCCTCATTGGACAACCACTGCTCGCCGTTCCACCTCGTTCCAATCCAGATGCTACCCGTAATTTGACCAACCGCTGGAAGTTATTAGACCAGTGCCATCAAGCCTTTTGGAAGCGTTGGTCAACGGAGTACTTGACAACGCTCCAAGAACGCGTCAAATGGACGGATCGTGTCCCCAACATAAAGGTCAACGACATGGTCGTCGTGGTTGACAACCAAGCGCCCCCTTTATTATGGCGTCTCGGGCGCATCATTGAATTGGTGCCAGGACCCGATGGAACTGTGCGAGTTGCGTCAGTGTTAACGCGTCAGGGACGCATCACACGACCAGTCGTTAAATTAGTAGTACTACCGACTGACTGAAATGTAGTTTACTCCAGCCCTCAAACGATTTAGTATTAATTGTCTGTTTGTTATTTAAATAATTATACGCGTATGAATCTCACACGTCAACATGACACATATTGAATGCTAAGATCAACATAACTGACGTATGTGGCGGTCACTTGCGATGTTCTCGTCGGAGGGGGTTGGGGGAGCTGTATATTGGACTGATTTGTTCAAACACATGTATTATAATTATTTTATGGATTATATCCAGCGTTACCATAATATGTATTTATTTATTTTTTATGTATGTTTTTTCAATGTAAGTATGTTTTTTTTTGTTACACATCTACCTACTTTGCATTATATAAATTTGATTTAACATCATCGGCGGCATTTCCACAATGACAAGCGGAGCTTCCCATGGGGGAGAATGTTTAAACTGCCGCCTTTTCCAATCGAGACCTCACCACCGATACGCGCGATACCGCCCGATAACACGGTGAGTCTCGACCTTTGGACTCCTTCTCCACCCATGCCCACAAACTGGACGACTCGGACGTCGTCTCCGTGCCGCCAGTATGTCTAGTGCCTGCGTTCTGACGGTGCTGAGATTCAACGGCCGTGCGCCTGGTGTTATCTTCGTGAGTGTCGTGGCGTTTTTTATGATTCCACGTGTTATGTCCGCAAGTATCTCATTGCACTTGATATAACAATTATTGTCGCGTTGTTTCGGTCGCCGTTCGGAGGATTTGGTCCGGTTGTACATTGGTACCTACTTATTTCAATTCAATCAGGCAACCGCGTGTGCGACTTGATCACCGCTCACAGAATTACATATGCTTACGGTGAAAAATCCGTCATCTGTCGATTAGTACCTATTTGAGTGCGTATACCGTGTCGTTGCGATAATATCGTGCATTCATGCGATTTAAACGCTGTCCGTTGGTTTGAATAATCGCCGCCGCCGCCGTGGGGTCATTGTCCCGTCGCCGCCGCCGCCGCCGTCAACAACAGCTGATGTCACCGCGTTGTCACCTACCGCCGCCGACGTTATCATCATCGTGGTCTTATCAACGACTATCACCGCTGTCGCCGCCGTGGTATCGTTATTATTATTATTTATTGTTCTGTATTTTGTAATTGTCCATAAGACGTATCATTATTTTTATGATTATAATTATTATTATTATTATTATTCGTTGACCGGCAAAGAGACGTCTTGCACGGTCGCGACTCTGTACAACATTTATTTATGTACCTTATTATTCTGTTTTACACTATCTATTATACACTATTATTGTACCATCAAACTTTGTGTTACCATTTAAGGTCGCAAGATCAATTGTCACCTCACTCCCATACCGACGCGAGTCGTCGTAGCTAACCGCCATATATCGTAGGAGTTACGTCGGCGCCAACAATTGTTGACAGTCGTCATCATAATTTTAGCATAATTTTTAGCAATTAAGATATTAGAATAGGTCAAGCCTGGGAAGCTAAATGTGCTGAGAGCTGAGGTGACAAAAATTACTTAGATATAAGACGCCGCACGGGCAGGAACGAGGAGTCCCCGTCGTCACCGGGTGTGTTGTCGAGAGCGTGCCATCGACGTGCACACAGAAGAGGCGACGATTGCTGTACGGGTGACTTTTGTTTATTTAGTTTTAAAGAAAATAAAAGTGTTTCCGACCCGTAAAATTATTTGTTTAATTTTTGAGTAGTCTCGCAATTTGCCGTACTCTTTTCAATCCAATCTATATCACTTGAAAAGTGCATATACGACATAGTGGAACCTCTATTTTACAAAAAATTGTGAAATAAAAATGATATTTTATCATTTATATAAATCGTTTTTAGTGTAAAAAATGCATATAAATAATAATATATAATATTAGTAAATAAATAAAAATAATTAAATACGTTTAAATTATAGGTATTAAATATATATACATTTTGTTATAATATAGAATTTTGTCAAGTGGAAGTTAGTTAAAGAGAAGTACCACTATATTTGAGACCACAATAAGCTGTAAGGCTTACTAAGGTAGTACTTACTCTTTAAATTATAAACAATATTAATTTTAATAACACACTTCAAACTATGTTAGGTTTGTTACAAATAAAGACAAATTAAGCATTAAATGAATGAAAAAGTATTCAATTAAAATAGTATTCAATAAAATAAAAAGTAATACCTAGCAAATACTTCAAAAATAAAAGTATTTAAAATAGTAAACAATACAGAAAAAAGTATTTGATTATATTTACTCAAATACTTTACAACACTGGTTATAGGTACCTATACAAGGTGATTTTTTAAACGTGCTCACCCCCATTTTATCCTTTGATAATACATTTATTCAAATTCTGATATTTATAATTTTTAACTATACCTAAATACTAAATAGCATATTTTCAAATTCCTGATATTTTTTGTACCACTTAAGGAATGTTCTGTAACGATACAAACTTTTCTTTTTCGAATGAGAACACCCCTTTTTTATTATAAATTATTTAGTGTATGATTTTTTTGAAAATGTTGATGTATCTAAATCAAAATTCTAATGAGTAGTTTCTGATTTATTAAAATGTTTATACTGAGCATAATAATCCTTAAATATGGTTTTATAAAAATATAAAATTATATGTTATTTTTAATTTGGTATTAATTACACTTGATAATTTTCACAAATTATTTGTTTTGATGGACTAACAGTAATTACTTAATAACATTTTCAAAAAAGGGGGGGTTCCCATTTAAAAGCAGAAGTTTATATTGTCACAGGATCATCATTAAATGGTACAAAAAATATAGGTTTCAAGTGTTTTTAAAAATTCTAAAAATCAAAATTTAAATACCGTCAATCAGGGTGACTTGGAACGATTTTGACCTTTTAACTACTGTAATACATTCATTATTGATAATTAAGTTCTGTAAAAAATCATGCAGTGTCGCACACCTCCAAGGAATAGATTAAGTAAAAAAAAAAATAAAGTTTTCGAGTAAATTAAGATAAAAAAAAATAAAAAGTGCTTGTTCCAAGTCACTGAGGGTGTTGGGTGACTTGGAACATGCGTTTTTTCAAATGCAGATTGCATTTAATCATTTGTGGAAGGTCACTCGGAACACTACAATTATTATTTTTTTTTTTAAAGTGTTTAAAACCATATTTTTATTGATTTAAAAACATTTTAACATTTTTTAAAAACTGTTTATTACAAAATAATACATTTTCTTATAAGTTGCAGTCTTTGCTCACAAAATAAATTTAACAAACATATTAATAAAATTAAACTTTATATACAACAAAAAATAAAACAGTTTAAACTGACTTGTAAAACAATAGATACAACATAAGTATTTCTTTTTTGAACCTTACAATTTAATATTTATAACAAAAAACAATATAACAATAACCAAAAATTAATGTTATTGATTTTAAAACTTAACAATTTAAATGTTTACAATAGATAAGGAACTAATTTTTATTCAAACTGATAGTTGCCTCTTTTCTCTTTTATGACCTTTAATTTTTTTATAACTTGATCTTTTCCAACATATGCTTCATCTGTTATAAAAGGAAAAGAAAAACATCCTCTCATACTTTGGTTCTTTCTAAGGAAAGAGGTTCTTTCTCTCTCCAGTAAATTATCCTCCTCTATTTCAGTAATTTGTCCCACGTATTCTTCAAAGTTGCCTCTTACGGTTTCAAATTTTACCTTAACAAAATCATCTATTTTTAGGTTATTAATATTTACAGTCTCATAAATTTCTTCAGTCTCATAGTTATTTTCATTATTTTTATTTAGTTCAGTCACATTAGTGTTAATTTCAGTATCTGTGTTTAATTCTTCTTCATTATAACCTTCTGTGTCTCAGACTTCTTCTTCATTAAACATATTAGCTTCGGTTACACTCCGACCTGGCTCTATATTAAATCTTTTTCGTCTGCATTTCTTTGCTGGTCCATCGTTAGAACCAAATCTTGTTTCTTTAAATAAATCGTGAAGTACTTGTGGAATAATAGAAGAGCTTGTGGATGAGTTTGGATCTCCTGGTAATTTATTTAATATCTTCTAACGGGTATATGCAAGTAGCTTTAAACCCAGATTTAATATTATCAGATTGAAAAATTTCAAGTTTTTCTAATGTTTTTTTTAGTATACTTGGAAACACATCTTTTGTAAGTGGTCCTTTTCTTTTTAATTTATGCATCTTCAATACTTTACGCCATGCTATTTTCATAGGCCGAAAACAACACACATCCAATGGCTGAGTCAGGTGTGTGCTGTTGGGGGGCAGAAATATACATTTAATATCATGTTGCTTACATAGTTTAACAATATTCACCGAAATGTGACTTGCCAAGTTGTCTCCAATAATAACTTTAGTTCCATCCAAACGATGGAATAATTATAGTTTGAAACCATTCTTCAAATATTGGTTGATCAAACCACCCAGAGGGTGATCTGTTGTATCTACACCCTTCTCGCCCTCCTAATGTCCAAGGTTCCCACATCTGGAGGGATTTGTATACAACATATGGAGGAAGCATAACACCAGATGCATCGATAGCAAATATAACCGATGTAGCAGACTTTGTTTAATCCATAATTGAATCAGCATGTTTATTTTATTTTCTCACTAAAACTTTTGTTCTACCCGGATCATCTATAAAATTTGTCTCATCATAGTAAATAATGTTTTGCGGTGGTACATTTTCTAAACTTAATTCAAGGTTATTAAAATATTCATTGATGGTAGTTCTTGAGACAGCAGCTCGTGATCTTTTGATATTCTCGGAAGTCTAGGTTTCAAAAGACCAGAATGTCTGGAATGTCATCGCCAGGTTTATTATTTTTAAATATTTTTATTTTTCGGCCGGCACGATCTAAGTATGACTTGATCAATCTCTTAACTTCTTCCCTATCAAAAGGGTAACCCCAATCAGATGCAAATAATATTGTTTCTACAATATTATCTTCTTCAGTGGAAGTTAAAGCTGTTTGATTAAGATTTAGTTGGTTTTTTT